TCAATTCCATGGGAAGCATTACGCTTTTTAGCAGCCATTCTCGCCCTACAGTCATCCATTTTTGCTCGAAGCTCCTTCATCTCTGTAGCCAAACTTGTCATCAAAGAGTCTTCGATCATAACGTCGGAAGAGATTTCTTTTAATTCATCCTCAGCTTTGTTAATCTCTAGGAGCAAAGACTCTCTTTCAGATGTAGCACGAAGATATTGAGTACTCCTGGCCTTCAGTTCAACATTTTTGGCTAGCAAGGAGAGGATGTCAGAGTGAACAACCTTCAACGTCGCTTTAAAGTCAGCAGAAACATTGAGCGACGGAAGTGTAAGTGCTTGCGCCAATTTCGCACTCAACAGCTCAAGCTTATCCTTATGTTTAGTAGCACTAGCCTGGCCGATATCCATGTCCGTGAAAGACACGTACTCATATACCGACTGCTTGAGAAACTTCATATTTTCCTCTGAAGAAGCAGAAGGATGACTGGTTGAAGTAGGGCGAGACGTCTTGACTTGTCCCCAGGAAGTAAACAAGTCCTAGATGGAACGCACAATGTCATCAGCATCCTGTAAAGAAAATGCCAACATTGAGGACTTTCACTACAATAAACAAAGCGAAAATGAAAGTGAAACAAAAGGTTACCTCATCAGCAATCTTGGGAAGTTCAGGCATATCATCAGTTAGCTCCACCACCTGTGAGGACTTCCCCTTATTTGGGCGAGAAGACTCTACCACAACGGGCAGGCCCATGGGAGCCTCTACATAATTCAAGAAGCAACGAATCAGAAATCAGTAGCACAAACAAAGGTCAAACATCAAAATATGTATTACCTTCTGGTTCGACGTTTGGGGAGTCGGCGCCGTGGGAAGAAGGTGGCCTTTCTACTGGTTGTGATGAAGGTTCCGGGACTAAGGGTTTCTCTTTAAGCATAATCCCTTCATCAGCTGATTTGGACGAAGCAGCTTCAGCAGAAGATGATGAAGTAGGGGCTGCCAAAACCAAAGCCTTCGAAGGAGAGGCTGAACTTTTTTGAGGAATTCAGGTAAACCAGTAGTACATAGAAAAGTATGTTTGTGAATAAACAAATTCAATTACCTTTCTCCTAAGTATGAGAGGAGCGTCATCATCTTCATCATTATCGTCCTGCAAAATGGGAGATGCTGAAACTGGCTCTTTGCGGCTTAAAGCACCTTTAGCTGCAGTGGCCTTGGCAGGTAGAGAAGCAGATGGATGGATAGAATGTTTAGCGTGAGCAGGGGAGGAAGGATTCCTAATGGACACAGGGGTGACCAAAATACTAGAAGTAAAGGGAGTGCCTGGCTGGTCCAGTAAATGGAAGGCACGATTAGCATCAGCTGCAAACAATCGGTGTTTTACTGATGGCCAAAGCTGTTCAAAAAGAGAATGGACAGCACAGCTAGAATTGAAAGGGGCTAATGAAAATTTGCTCGTCAAAAGAATGTTGCGAGCATCTATAGCTTGTGCCTCTGCCTTATTAATAGTGTGAAAGCGGTCTGTCAAATTTTTGGAATAACAAGGAGGAACAGGCCAAGTTGGCCAAAACCAAGTTGGCGAGCAAAAAATTGGCGAGCATATATCTCAACCCCAGCTTTGACATTGGTTCCAGTTAAGATATCGTGGAACAATTCCCTCCCAATCAAAAACTGAACCGAAGCAAGCAGAAAGACACTCACACTCTCTAGGGTGGATGAAGGTTGCACATAATCTGGAGTCAAGTGAGCAGGAAAAGGAAAGAAAGAAGGAATCGAATTTAAAGTATAAAAGAATGAAAAAATTTCCCTACTGGACATATTTACAGGGGTCAGTAGATCAATGGCTAGCCCATAGCAGCTAGCAGAACGAAGGGAAATGGATAGAGTACCAAGTGGTGGAAAATATGTTCTCAAACACAGTTGAGTGAACCAAAGGGGGCCACTGCTAGTGGGAGATGCACCATTCTTCAGTTGAAATTGAAGGGAAGCCATGCCTCTATAAAGAGCGGCTAAAAAGAAGGAACATAAGTTCAAAGGCATACCATGCGCCAATTCATGCACTATGGGTAAATAGCTTATAGAAGGTTTCATACTTGGCACGCAAAGAATATATTTACAGAGTCAAATCTGAAGAAAGGTCACACGCTCAGTATGGGAAGGTTCAGCGCTTGAGTGATTATAAAAGCCTTGCAGGCTTGAATATGACTCAGTAAGTTTCTTGTCAAATTTCGGGGCAACACTGAAAATCAAGATACCAGGAAAGATGGTATCGCCCAAAGGCGGAAGATTTACCAAGGCTCCAACATCCCTTAAAGTAATAGACATGGGACCAAGAGGGAAAACGAAGGTGTTATACTCAGAAGACCAAAAACTCAAAACAATAGGAAAAAGCACTTGGTCAAAAATCGGGGGTTGAAGAGTAATTTCTAATAAATCTGAAATCCTAGCACGATCAAAAATCGCCTTGGTGGGGCCATGACTCACAAGACGTGCATGCCATCTACGAAAAATAACATCATCTTTGGGCCAAGTGCGAATACCTTTTTCGCGAATCGGCCTCAATGGCAGAGAGTTCAGGAACGGAGGACCTTGAGTGCAAGGGAACAGCTGACCCACCGTCACTTGTCCAACGACTTCAACATTATTAAACGATGGACCCAGATAGAATTCATTGAGGTTAACATTAGCTTGTGCAAGGAAGTTTGAATTTACATACGGCCTAGTAAGGATTTTTTGGAAATCTTCGAAACTAAAAGAATAATCAGATTGAGTTTGTGAAGTCGCCATTGGAAACAAAGTACAGTTTTGATAAGGTTTGCCTGAGAAACGTAGCAGAGAAGCAAGAAGATGAACAGTAAAATAGCGAGGAGGAGGCACGAAATATAGAGACGTGGTTTAGTGGTGTGATGAAATGGCGTGTCTTTTGGGTTTATAAGGGTTTGTAACGTTGCACATTTTCAGGCTGTAGAAGGAAATAATGATTGAAATTCTTGGGAATTTCAAATATTGCTGGAAAAAACTAAGTGAATATGGCAAAGATTAATAATTGGTATTAATTCTGCTATATTGGGGGGTAATTGTTGATACATTAAAAGTGCAGCCCAAATCAAATAGCCCAAAGAGTGAAACCCAATTGGGGAGTCCAGGATAAAGGTCCAAACATGATTATTGAGGAATGCGATGGAAGCCCACGAATACGGTAACATCATCACCCAAGCTTGCAAGACGCCCAGAATCTGAGCGAATGGAGTACCTTACGGTCGCCCAGAGTGATGACCCCGTTTTCGTCCAAACTTTCGAATCGCCTAGGATCTTAGCAAGCATAAAACATTATGGTTATCCAGAATAACAGTTGTTGAAGCAGTTATTGAGTGATCTTATCACATTCCACGATTCAAGGAGCCTAGTTGAAGGCGGTTGAACGACAAAGAGTAATGACAACAGTTAGAGACGGCAGTTCCACGACAAATTAGCCACCATAAAGAAAGTGGGTAGTTATACAGCAATCAAGCAGTTTTCAAGCGGTTTGCTACGAAGAAATAATTAAGGGAATATAAAAAGAAGAGAAGATATAGAGAAAAAGACCCTGAATCAAACACTCTCAAACAGAGAATATGTAATTTCGATTTCTTAGTTTAAACTTAAACGCTTCTTTTAGTACTCGTGTGCTTGCGCCCCTTGGAAGCATTCTGTTTATTTCCAATTGTAAATCATCGCCAATAAAACACCACTTTTTGGGACTTCGTCTCAAGAGATTTGTTCCTTACACAATCGTCTGATCCCTTTTTTAATTGTTAGTGACTACCCGTGCGAAACAGAACATAATTGTCACTAATTGATGAAGGGGCGTTATTATCATCAAGGAATAATACACCGGAACATAAAATTGAATTATTCGAATTCTCTGGTAAAAATGGAACATGGGTTTGCGGGTGTGATTTGGAATCTTTATCGTTAAACAGGATATTCAGTCCTTGCGTTGTGTATCGGGTTGCTCTTGCCCATTTTCGCATATTTTTGGGATGATCGTACAAAAACGAAAGGTTTAGGACTAATAGCACTTGTTTGGGAATTATGGGACTCCAGATGATTTCCATAATTCTTCCTTTGAACACTGTTAAGGAACAAGTGGAAATTAAAATAAATTTTTTGTAAATATGATAAAAAATTGCTAGAGTGACCCCGTTTCGCCCTCATTTTATAAAAATGAAAATGACTGGAATAATATTTTTTTGAAAAATAAGTGATTGAAAAAGAAATAAAAATTTCGATTTACGTATAATATTATTTTAAAAAAATTGTGTGGTTAAAAATATGAGAGAGAAAAATAAAATGTAATGGAATGAAAATTTATAGGGGCCAAATACGGGCTGAATAATTGAAAAATTGTGAATTTTAAATATCTGAATTTTAGGGTTTATTCAACTGTGGTTGGTTTGAATTAAAATTTTAAGTCAAAATCAATAAATAATTTTAAGAATTCGCAATTTTTCAATGATGCATTTCATAATTTTATCAAAATCTATTGAAATTTTGATTTTAATTTGACTAATATTTTGTTGACTCCCTTTGAAATCGTCATTGTCTTTCATTTCCTTCTGCAAACTCTTACTTAACCGCCCCGGGTCCAGGCATTTGGCGCGAAATTCATTTAAGTCGCACTCACCGGCACCACTCCCTCAACCTTGCAGAAAAATGTTCTCGAAAATTCAATCTTCGCAATCGAATTTCTAGAGTTTTGTATTTCGATTAATCGGTTTCGCGTTCTGAAAACGAAATCTTAAACTGATTTTTAGATCTTAGTCTCAATCGCTTAAATCTCTAAAGCTCAAATCTGAAGGCTCGCGATCAATATTCTGCGTTTTTTTTCTTAATCAATTACAGATTAAAGGATAGCGAGATTGAATTGAATTTCTCGGATTGATTTTTTTGCATTTTGCACTATAAAATTCGAAATTGAATACTCCAAGGGTGAAAGCGTAGGAGCTCGCACTAAATTTCTTCGCGATTTCAAAATGAGTAGGTTTCAAGGATTGTCAGGAATAAGGAGCCTGGAACAGTTAAAATCTTTGTCAGGATCTGCGAAGGCACTATCGATTTCTTCGCGCGTGTCTACGGACTCGGTTTCTTTGGGAAGTTTAGCAAATCTGAAGCTCACTGCAGGCTAGTCTAATTTTTAAGAAAATTTCTGTTTATTTCAGTGGACTGTTTTTGAAAAGTTTGTCTAGATGAAACCTGTCTCTTTGATTTGCCTTTTTTCTCCAGAGAAATTGGTCAAAGAACAAGCTTCTGCAAAAACTGACCTTGAACTGGCGGTAAAAAGGAAATATAATTTCGTTCTCTTTTCTCTCACTATATCTTACACATGTTACATACGTGTGCATATGCACTCAAGTATTTAATGTGTTTGTTTATGTTGTGTGTGTATGGACATGGTATTATATGTGTATATATAAAATAGAGAGACATCTTATTCCGTGTACAGTACATTGCCAGAAATTAATTCTGATATCAGGGCACAATGACATATTTTTTCCCCTGAAAATACTAATGATATCTCCTAAAAAAGACTGGACTGTAATGTGATCATATGAATTCAGAACTCTAAGCTGAAGAAGCTGACGGACCATATCAGTGTGCTGGAAGAGAAATTGCAAAATGCGTTTAATGAAAATGCTAAGCTAAAAGTGAAGCAAAAAGAAGATGAGAAGCTCTGGAAAGGACTTGAATCAAAATTCTCTTCAACAAAGACCTTGTGCGATCAACTTACAGAAACATTACAGCACTTGGCTGTTCAGGTTCAGGATGGTATGTGTTATTCTTAGTATTCATTTGTCACTTCCACCCAGGAAGTTTACTGAGTATAGTTCTAAATCCTCAGCTGAAAAGGATAAGTCATTTTTCGAAGATAATTTCTCTACAACATCAGTTGCTCTTGATAATTTACATGATCAGATGAAGTCTCTGTCTTTGAGGCTGAACTCTTCAGAAAATACAGTTAAAAGCCGTGAGTGATTCCAGTGCCTTATTTCATCAATATGCTTTTGGCTATACTAAGAGCTTGATCAGCTTTTGTCTATACTAGAATTTTCTTCTTGCTATACTCTTATTTATGGCATGGATTTTGATTCTTATCAAGGTGAAATGGAGCTTGTGGATCTTGGTCTCAGGAAGGAAAAAATGGAGATCTCGTTCAGGGATGAACAGAGCAGAGTTGGCATTCTTATTGAGGCAAAAGGTAATACACTGTAACAAGATCTTTTACAAAGAATTCACTTGTGGGTGAATTGAAAGAACATGATAACAGTGGTGGCAATCAACATTCACTGTGTGAACCTTAATTTCAATTTTAGCCTCTTAACCAAGCAAGTGTATATTCCTGGTTATGAGTTTGATTTTGAATTAGCTCCAAATATATGCACATTTGCCATCACCAATAGCATTTCCATTATCCTTGACAACATGAAGGTCATCCCACTCTTTGTTGCCATCAAAATAATGCTATAGAAAGCAAATTCAATTCATGTCATTACACCTGATCATGCTACTGCTGTAATCAAGTTCATTCAGTTCCAGCTAGTTTCTTAGTGCATATAACTGTATTGTTCTCCACTCTCCAGACCCTGGCTTGTTGCCCCTATTCACTGCAGAATTCGTTTTCAATGATGCTGAGAAAAATTCTCTTTTCGAGCTAGAACATCATGGCACAATAATTGCTTTCCTCATCCTATAAGCATGATAAATTTTGTTGAGATAAAATTCTTAAATGGAGTGTCTATATCATCAAAACTAGATATAATCTCCTTTTGCTTGGATCAGATATGAAATTCGTCATAGAATTGCAGTAAAAAGCTAAAGCTTTCTATATTATCCCGTATCTGCTCCCTGTACTCCCACGGATAATTCCTTTGTCTTCTAGGTGGATATTGCTGAATTTACTCCTGAAATATGAGACACTATCTAGTTCATGTTTGACATTCAGATTTGTATTCTTTTTGGTTGATTTTCCTGAACAAAATGAAAGTTATTAGTTAGTTGCATTCTTTGTTTTCAGTTTATTTCAAGAATTTGTACTATTAACATAGATAACTACATTGGTACATTCAATGATATCTGGAAATACAGCTTAAAGTTGGATATTGCAATATTATCTGAAGTGGACAAGGTTTCTGATTTTTTCCTGTACATAAGCATTAAACGACTGTAGTAGAAATTGGAAACAATTTGATGGTCTAGGAATAAGATGACTATCCTGACGGTTTCAAATTTCTTATAAGGTATATTTTATACCCCTGATGCTTGTGGAATTCCCTAGTCTCTCAGCAATGGCAAGTTGTTATCAGGATTTACATCTTTCTGCTCAATTTTTTAATATTTTCAGCCTTAGCTTCAGATGATAGTGCTTTTATTTACTTACGTATTTTTTCGCTTAAACAGATGCCATGATAAAAAAATTAGAAGAAGCTGTAGCAACTAACAAAATGGCTCTGGATAGGTTGACTACTAAGATGGACACTTTACATCTTGAACTGAAAATAAAAGAAGATGACCTGCGAGATTTGAGGAACTGTAAGGAAAAATTGAAGAGGGAAAAAATTGATCTATTATCAAGTAACAAAGATTTTTCTATCAGATTAGAGAAGGCACTTGCAGAGATAAAGAACGTTGAAGAATTTGTCAATGTGCTGGTCGCAAAGTTTGCTGAGTTGGAGAATCAAAGTCTGATGTTTGCGGAAAAAGTCATTCAGCTTAATACTCTATTTGATTCATGTTTTAAGCTGGTTCAGCAAGAGAAAGACCTTGCTTCTCAGTGTGCTAAACAAAAGTTTGATCAAATACAGAATCAGTCTTTACGTGTTACCTCAGAGAAAAATGCTTTACAGCTGGTTAATCAGGAGTTGAAAAACAAAGTCATTAAACTTCAGAAAGAACAGGAACTGACAATGGTGCAGCATGCAGAAGAATGCCGTTTAGCAGAAGAGAAAATTCTGAAATTAGAGTCTGAAGCTGAAGCATTACTCTCGAAGCAGACAGAACTAGGAACTTTAATAACCAAGTTGAAGGAAAATATTGATAATTCATCAGAGAAGTCAAAATTGTCAGATAACAAAATGGTGAATTTCATTCTCTAAATTTGGTTCCACAGCAGTGTGATATGTTCCTTAGCTTGCTGTTTTTTCTTCTGCCATGTAGGAAGAATTGTTGTTGAAACTTTCTGAGTTGGAGATGGACAACAAAGATCTTGCAGAAAAGCTACAAGCAGATACTCTGAAAAAGCAGGGAGACATTGATCTTTTGCACAAGGAGATAGAGATAAGTGAACAAAATGTAGATTCACTACAGAAAAGAGCTAGTCAACTTGAAAAGGCATTGGATGAGAAGGACCAGCTCATTTCTGAACTCAAGATGAAAGAAAAACAGTTTAAAGATTGTAAAGCAGAGGTTTTCCACTAAATCTTCAAGTATAAAAAATGGTATTGTTGCCTCTTGGATGTGTTTAATTAATTATTTAATGATCTGTTCCAGATTCAGGCAGCACTAGCCGATGCTGAAGGAAAGCTTATGGAAGCTAAGAAGCAGCATGATCAAATGTTAGAAAGTAAGCAATTGGAACTGTCAAGGCACCTGAAAGAAATATCTCAGAAAAATGATCAGGTGTTTTTCATTATTAACCTCACAAGATATTCATGATTACTATGCATTTATCTGCCTTTGATCCCTGCAACTGACTTTGAATGGGGTCTGACAGGCCATTAATGATATACGGCGGAAGTATGAGGTGGAGAAGCTGGAGAGTGTTAATCTTGAGAAAGAAAAGGTTCTATTCCTATTTCTCTTCAGGTTTACTCTTGAAGGAAATCAGTTGTAACTAATGTCAACCTTCAGGCAGAGGAAGTTTTTGGAGAAATGGAAAGAAAGTGCGAGCAAAGGATTGAAGAATCCCAGAAATACTTGATGCGGGTGCAGGAAGGACATGCGGCTATGGTATGTTCTTAGGCAGATATTATCTTAAACCTAAATAATTTCATATTTTACATTTTCTGTTATCCTTATTTCTTTTTCTGGTCTAGTGAATATTCTTCTTTTCAGTTTGGTTTGGTGTTTATTCACACTTGAGATGACTGCACAGAAGGAGAAATTTTCCTCTTGACTATGGCTCTTAATAATCTTTAATATGTGAGAAATTGATTCTTTCTATATCTGGAGATCTGGGAGCTTGTAGCTTGAACTTTGGTTCCTGATTACTCATAAATAAAAACAAAATGTTATATAGAAACCTTTTGCTTTCCATTTATATAGAGATCTTGTTTGGTAACCTGTTCTTCCCTCAGTGGCACTTTTGCCTGCCTGCCAGCATAATAATAATTATGTCAGCTAGTTGTATGAGTATATTTAAAAATAGTGCTGAGTTGACCTTTATTAACTTCGCTTTTTAGATTAGCCACATTCAGCAAGAACACGATGCAAAAGAAATGGGTCTCATAACCAAGCACAGTGAAGAGCTAAAACGTCTCCAACTTCAAGCCGAAAATGAATTAAGAGAGGTATATCAATTGTAGAGCTTACTATTGAACTAAATATTTATCATACTGTTTAACTTTGATTTGGTAATAGAAATTGTGTTCTGTAGAAAACTACAATGCTCAGATCTGAGCATGATGCTCAGTTAAGAGCTTTGAAGTGTGAGCATGAAGATGAGTGCAGAAGACTGCAGGAGGAGTTGGACTTTCAGAAATCAAAGGTATGTCCTGTAATTGCATTATAAAGATTTATTAATGGTACCTTAATGTGGCTATGATATTACAGGAAGAGAGGCAGAGAACCTTACTGCAAATGCAGTGGAAAGCAATGGGTGACCATCCACAAGAGGACCAAGAAGCAAATTCAAACAAGGTCTGCTGGAATAAATAATACACATATTTCTCCCTCCCCCAACAAAGGAGAAAATCTCTTTCTCCTGCTACTGCACAGCCAGTAACAGAAAATCGACAGTTAAAGATCATTATTGCATCTGCATTGTTTTTATGCTGTGCCGCAATAGCTTTATGTCTTGTTATTTTATTCTCATATATCTGCCAAAAGAGATAGAATATGAGGCCTTTTCTCAGTTCACTTGTAATGTAAATAAGATGTGGTGATCTGAATAATTTATTACCATTTCCACAAAAGATTTCATCATAGCAAGTTTCTATAATGTCGTAGAAAACTGATTTACATAAATCAGTTGCACAATTCTGTATATATTTTTTTTCTGCATGCATTAAATGTTGGTACTCTCTCAGCTCAGTCAAAAGAAACAATGTGATGCATTTTACTGATTAGTTGGTAACAATATATGCGATTGCTTAGTTAAGTTCATAATTTTCAGAATTACTCAATTTCATCCAAGATGAGAAATTCTGAAAGTCGAAAAAAAAATCAGCATGGTCTCGAGAGAACAGAAGATGAAGAAAAGGTGAATAGCAAGGACAAAAACCTTCTCTTTTCCTTTAGCTTTTGCTTCACAAACAATGTCATCTTGTAAATTTTGGGGATGCATAATGATGTTTGTTCGTAGGATTCACCTTACAAGATAGCAAGCCAGACACCTATCTCAAGTTTGTTGAAAAAAGTTGAGAAGGTGAACGGAGGAAGTCTTCCCCAACACAGTAGGAAGGTGAGATAGTTATTTGTGATGTGGCACCACGTTTGTTTCCCAATCCTGTGGATTAGTTTAGCCTTTGTTTGATTTTGCTAAAAACTACATTTTTAGTTGGTTTTGATAAAAGTTGATGAAATATATGGTTCAAAAGTTGATAACAGTTGTAGGTGCCATAAAATGTATGGTTGAAATGAGTTTTAATAAATGGGGGCCAAGCAAGGACTTAACGTCTATCAATATGTCAATCAAAATCTAAGACTCTTTGCTTCTATTTTCCTCAACCACTTTGCTCATGTCAGGTGACTCACCATGAATATGAAGTTGAAACATCAAATGGTAGAACAGTTACAAAACGACGGAAAACTAAAAGTACAGTCATGTTTGGGGTATGTAAATTCCATTATTCAGCATAATCACTAAATTTTATTTCTAAATCTACTAGATTTTTGCGCCACAGATAAAAGAGGTTTCCCATAGTTGGCAGGTAGATTATGCATACGACCCTAATGATGTTATAAATCATATGTACTACAGGACCCAAGGAAGAACAGGAAGGGAGAGACACGAAAAGCTAAGAATCCCAAAGATGTTACCAAGGCAAGGACAATCTGAGTAAATTATTCCAAGGCTTCTTTTCTCTATGCTTTCCATCTGGATTTTTGATCAAATGAGTTTTTGAATGTGTCGTGATAGAACTTTGTTTGCATACAAAATGCTCATAAGAGGTTAATTATGAAAAATGGGCATTGAAAAAATCCTCCTATGTTGTGGTTTATCTGCATTTGGAACCTAATAATAGATCACTACGCGGTAAGGAAACATGAAAAATGCATATTTAATGACTAAGTAAACAAAGTAATGTAGATCTGCTGAGGCTAGGCTTTTTTTTCTGTGTAGTTTGTCTGAATGAAATGTAGTCTCATATGGTACATTTTATCTTTGTATGGCCATTTATGGTTCAGCTGAAAGACTCGGTGCTTATATTATATCGTTTGAATGAGATGAAGTTCATGTGGTGCATATCTTGTATTGCTACTTTTGTGCATGACGCTCACATTCACCCTTGCATCCCCATCCACAGACACAGCCAACAGCAACTGAGAGGGAGAGTACAATGAGATTTTGGTTTGATCAACTACATCTCTGAATTTTTGTAGCTTGTTCTGACATTTAACAGTACTAAATTTTATCCAGAGAATCAAAGGTGGAGGGCATCCAAATCCTTCCAATATAGGTGATCTGTTCACAGAAGGATCTCTGAATCCATATGCAGATGATCCCTATGCATTTGATTAGAGGTGCTCTCATTTCATATGCAGTTTTCTTGTACTTTAGATTCCCAATTTTATAAAGAAGATAGTAGACATTTTTTTTGCTGAAGTGGGAAAAAGTTCATGATATCAATTATCAAGTAAGGAATGGCTTTCTTTTTCAAACTTCTTATTAACTGCCACACATGCTCTACCTTTATCCTTGTCAAGAACTTGATTTGATTGCTTTGTTGGAACCTAATACCATATGGAATCATTCTGTTCACCGGAGGAACAAGATCAAAGGTCCTTGAATTTCATGGACCCCTTGATGGGAATGTGTCATACTATTCTATAATCCAACTCCTTTAGTTTATGAACACCAAGACTAAGAAACTGCAGATAGAAGCATAGCGTTGGGTCCTCGGAATTGGAACTCACAAACAATCAGTTAAAATTTGAAATATTATGAATTCCAATTGTTAAAACCCAATAACATGCTTTACCACACACAATTTAAGTCTGAATGGTCTAGTTGGTTTCCCAACAGGCCTATTTCAATATCTCGATCCTCCTTTCCCAAAACTGAATATATTACTATAAGGAAGATGGGCATTAAATTAATGAAATGCCATTACCAGGAAATCTGAGCTTGAAGTGGAATTTTTTTTTAAGCTAATCAACAGCTCTAAAGAAACACAGGACCTCTCCATTACATTTGGGAGTGTTGAACCCTGTATCTCTGTAATTTGAGGCCTTAAAGGAATTTTCATTTTTCCTTCGCAAACTTCAGACTTACTTTGCAATCACAGAGCATTACTGTCAGTTTAAAGTTTTGCTTTATCTTGGATATGACTATGCTGGTTTTTCTTGCTTTCAATGCATTCTACGTTAGTGGATTAAATGTGAAAATGAAGACGGCACTAGATTAATGTATAGTTGTTTTCCAGGTGATAAACAAAGAATAAGCCTCAATTCATTGCCTAGAAAATTGGACATGAACTTGTCGGGCAGAGGATCCTGGAGCATCTGCATTTTATCCATCTGAATACTATCTCATACAGTTGCTTCGTTCTGCTAATGCTGAGCTTTCATGGAATCTCGATAAGATAGCTCTTGTCCACGAAAAAGATTTGGCCACTGGGGAAGACTTTTCAAAACGTCAGGATTAAGTAACTCATAGTAAGAGCAATTTTCAGCTATGAATAACCATTTGTATGGTGAACCCTGCTATGCTGGAGTGTTTTGAAACTACTCTTTTCTGTGCATATATGTTTACTGTTGCCAAGCCTAACGCCAAAAATATCTCTCTAGACTACTCGATCTTTTCTATTGATAGTAACATCATCTCTGCTTTTTCATTGCTCATCATATTAGTGTTCTCAGATCGAATATTCTGTGTGAGAAATAAGCATCTGAAATTTAAGCACGCATTATGACAAATATATTTCGAGGCAGGTATATACCGGCCCAATTATGCAGATACTCATTACATACCATGATTTGATTCTTCTCATTTTAGCTGCAGTTGTGTTAGTAACATTCTGGTAAAGGTTTATATAATTTCAGCATGTAATTTGAGGACTAAGGATATGAAAAATGAATAGGACTGAGATTTAATTTCTATAGGTGGCGAATATGTGTCCCATTTGAAGCTATTATTAGCATACAGGAAAATTAGGAATTCAAGCAACTCCATTTCAACGCAAATCCTCAGCTTCTTGTTCTTCAGTTTCTCCTTCACCAACGCTCTTTTTAGCTCATCAATTTCCTCTTCATTCTGAAGCCCATAAAACACGGTATGAATTTAATATATATTCCCAATTCAACTCTTGTTTTTATCAGTTATTATTGACGCTAGAGTTGTGTGTGTATGGGTTATCTTATTACGGATTTCAAAACAAACTCAACCACTTAACCAATTAATTTGAAGAAAATCAACATAAACTGCAATACAATAATTAGGAATCTGTGTTTCAGTATAGATCTATACAAACACGCAAATGTATTCATAGAAAGAGGAAGAGAAGGACCTTTAGTAAGGAAATGTTCGAAGTTGATTTATTAGGGGAATTTTTCAGCGAAGAGAAGAAGAATCTCAGCTTTAGCACATCTAATGGCAACTTGAGACTTCAATGCCTGAGCCTGGCCCCCTCTTTCGTCGCCGTCTTCTCCATTTTATACACGCGGGTTGATTTTAAATTTTGGAACTCGAGATTTTATTTTATTGATTTATTTATTATTATTATCATTTTTGGTGATTTCAAATGAAGCGTGGGAACTTAAAGGGAGTTAATTAAATAATTAGTAATCAATATTTAACTTTGGTTATTACTATTGGAAGACAACAAAGCAACTGAGCTGGCAAATTGCATTACTCATCAACACTCTCAGCAATGGACACATCAGCAGGAAGCCAAAGATTTTCTAGAAGGAACGAGAAGAGGAATCTTGTAGCCAATTTTCTGTTATTCTGTTTTGCAGCATGTGATGGCTAGTAGCAAGTGTATAATAGTCTGTTATAGGTGTGAAAATGTATATATATACTGGTATAATGTACAAAGAAAATTTAGGGCAAATTTATATACAAGAACGTTTCTCTCCAATTGATCTTCTCTAAGCTCTCAGCTGAAATTCTTCATTTTTGCCTTACAATTCTTGAAATGGTATCAGAGCCTATGAATTTCTTTACCAGAGGGAATTACAAAGAAGGAGGGAAGCAAAACAATTCAGCACAAAAGAGGGATCGGTACTATTGCATTTTTTGCAAGGTCCAGGGCACTCCATCAACAAATGTTTCAAAGCCAACCAAGGGAAATCAGTTTGCTCCTATTGTCGAGTTCCTGATCATGCTACAAACAAGTGTTTCAAGCTCCATGGATATCCATCAAGCCACAAATTCAAAGGGAAGAACAGACCCTTCGTGAATCATTCCATTACATCCTTACTTTCTACACAGGAAGTAGTGAATGACGAGTCTCCGGTGTCATTAAGTTAGGAACAATATTCTTAGCTTATGGCTCTTTTCAAATCTGTCACAAGTCCTCAATATTCCACTCACTCAATCAATAATGTTCAAAGTATTGTTGCTTCTCCCTTTTCTGATGAAGCTGCACATCAACTTTCTAGTATGTCTTTGTGCATGTCTGCTTTTGAATCAAAGTCTACTAACATTTTAGATACTACTTGGATTTTCGATACAGGGGTGACAGATCATATGATCTATTCAACCTCATTGTTTTCTTCTATTCAGGTAGAAGTCTCTTTCTCAGTAGCTCTACCAAATGGTAACAAAGTTCGTGTCACCCATGTAGGGACAGTGAACATCACAAACACTTTAAGTCTTCGAGATGTCCTGTGCGTGCCCAGCTTTTCTTATAATCTGATTTCTGTCAAGAAAATAGCTCAAATGTTTAACTGCTGCCTGATTTCCTTTTCTCGTCGTTGTTATATTCAGGACCTTTCAGTTTAGAGAACAATTGGCATGGGTGAAATTAAGGAAGGGCTTTACCATATGAAGTTTGAGGAGGTACCTTATTCAGCTTTATCGGACCACTTGACCAAGTTAAACATTCTGCCATCTACTTAAGTTTCAGCCTCAATAACTAATGATGCTCAAAACTTTGATGTTTGGCATTATAGATTAAGGCACACTTCTTATTCTATTTCTAGTATTGATGGTGACATTCATTTTTATAAATCTTCCAATGACACACCCTGCTCCATATGTCCCTTAGCTAAACTACATAAATTACCTTTTCTTGTGAGTGCTCATAGAACTCAAAAATGCTTTGAGTTGTTACATTGTGACATTTGGGGTCCTTGCAATGAGATTGGCAGTGATGGCTCTACATATTTTTTAATCACTGTGGATGATCTTAGCCGATGCACTTGGGCATATATGTTAAAGCTAAAATCTAATGCAACAACAGCTCTTCAAAACTTTTGTGCTATGGTGGAAACACAATTTGAAACCAAAGTTAAGATCATTCAAACTGATAATGGTGGTGAATTCAACATGAAGGATTTCTATCTTAAAAAGGGTATCATACACCAAAAAACTTGTGTTGAAACGCCACAACAAAACGCCGTGGTTGAGAGAAAACACCAGCATATTCTTAACATAGCTAGAGCTTTAAGATTTCAAAGTGGAATTTCTTTAAAATACTGGAACCATTGTGTTTTAATCACCGTATACCTCATAAATAGGATACCCTCTCCCACATTGAATAACAAAAGTCCTTATCAAATTCTCTTCAACAAAAGGCCAAACTACCTACCTCTCAAAGTTTTTGGTTGTCTTGCATTTGCCACAACCATTGTTAATGGAAGACACAAATTTGACCCTAGAGCAAAAAGATACGTGTTTATAGGCTACCCTTTTGGGATCAAAGGATATACTTTGTTAGACCTTGAAACCAAGAAGATATTTGTTTCTAGGAATGTAGTTTTCTATGAGAACATTTTTTTGTTCAAAAATCCCATCAACAATAATGAATCACAACTAGATCAAAACAATGTGAGATTCACTCAAAATCCTATTTCCCATAATCAAACATTTGTTGCCACACCCATTCCAAATATCAATCACGATCCACCACAAACAGATTCTGAAAATACAGTCTTTGGAAGATACTCCACAAAGTTATGATCATAATGAATCTCAATTAGAGTCTGCTGATTCCTCCCAAAATCCTAATGCTCCTGATACACCATCAAACATCACTCCTATTACCCATTGCCCCCGCAGGTCAGAAAGAATTCAAAGGGCACCAGCATACCTCCAGGACTTCATATGTCAATAAGGTAACTTTCTTCACCCATCTCAAGAGTTGGACAAACTGAAGGTACAAAATTTCCTAGGTAAACATTATCCTCTTGGTGCTAGTGTTTCATATGAAAAATTGTCAACTCCACATAGAACTTTTATATCTTCTGTCACTTCACAAACAGAACCTCGAAATTACCAAGAAGCCAAAAATTCACCAAACTAGTGTGCATCCATGAAAGCGGAGATTGAAGCTCTTGAACTAAATGACACTTGGATTTTAGTCGACTTACCTTCTAATAAGAAAGCAATAGGGTGCAAATGGGTGTACAAAATTAAGTTCAATGCCGATGGTAGCATAGAAAGACTTAAAGCAAGGCTAGTTGCTAAAGGGTATACACAACAAGAAGGATTTGATTACAATGAGACCTTTTCACCCGTAGCTAAACTTGTCACTGTTAGAACTTTATTGGCTATAGCGGCCATAAAGGGACGGAATCTCTTCCAATTTGATGTTAATAATGCTTTTTTACATGGTGAGTTGGATGAAGAAGTATATATGGAGCTTCCCGCGGGATTTTCAAATGGGAATAGCAAGAAAGTATGTCGACTCAAGAAGAGCTTGTATGGGTTAAAACAAGCATCACATCAATGGTATTCTAAACTCTCTAAGTTTATTATTGAGCAAGGATACATTCAATCTAAGGCAGACTACAGCCTATTCACTAAAAGCACTGGTAGTTCATTCACTGCCATCTTAGTATATGTTGACGACATAATTGTGACCGGTGATTGCATTGATACAATTAACCATCTCAAAATCTCTCTTCATGACAAGTTTAGAATCAAAGATCTTGGAAAATTGAAATACTTTCTTGGTATAGAAGTGGCCAGGTCTATAAAGGGTATTCACATATGCCAGAGGAACTATGCTCTTGACATATTGGGAGATTCAGGAACAATTGGTTCAGCACCTGCTAGGATTCCTTTGGACCAAAACCTGAAGATAACTAAGGATGAGGGAGAGCTTCTACCTGATCCAACACTCTATAGGAGATTGATTGGTCGATTGCTATATTTGACTATAACTAGGCCAAACATTTCATACTTAGTGCAGCTGTTAAGCCAGTTTATGGATAGCCCTTGAGTACCACATTTGCACATGGCACACAAGGTGCTAAGATATATCAAAAGGGCTCCAGGCCAAGGGTTATTTTATCCAACAAATTCAAAGATGCAACTACATGGTTATTGTGATTCTGACAGGGGCGCCTGCCCTGACACCAGGATATCCATTACGGGGTATTGTGTTTTTATTGGTGAATCGTTAGTATCCTGGAAATCCAAGAAATAACACGTTGTTTCCAGATCTTCCTTAGAAGCAGAATATAGAGCCATGGCAAATTTGTGCTGTGAATTGACATGCGTTCGATATTCAATTGAAGACTTGCAGATAGCCCATCCTCAAGCCTCTTTCTTATATTGTGATAATAAATCTGTTGTGCACATTGCCACAAACCCGGTCTTTCACGAAAGGACTAAACATATAGAGCTCGATTGTCACTTAATACAAGATAAAATTCAAGATGGAAGCATTATCACGATGCATGTGCCTAGCAGATCATAAACAGCAGACATCCTCACTAAAGCTTTGAACTCTCAAAGTTTTTACTCGTGCATGGACAAGATGGGAGTAATGGATATATACTCTCCATCTTGCGGGGGGCTATTGGAAGACAACAAAGCAACTGAGCTGGAAAATTGCATTACTCATCAACACACTCAGCAATGGACACATCAACAGGAAGCCAAAGATTTTCTAGAAGGAACGAGAAGAAGAATCTTGTAGCCAATTTTCTGTTATTCTGTTTTGCAGCATGTGATGGCTGGTAGCAAGTGTATAATAGTCTGTTATAGGTGTGAAAATGTATATATATACTGGTATAATGTACAAAGAAAGTTTAGAGCAGATTTATGTACAAGAACGTTTCTCTCCAATTGATCTTCTCTAAGCTCTCAGCTGAAATTCTTCATTTTCACCTTACAATTCTTGAAAATTACTTATTCACCCAAAAATAAAAGATTACTAATTGTTTACTCACTTTTATCTATCGTTAAATTTACATCATCTATCTAAATTTCGTCCATCCACATGGCAAAAACCTCTTACACGGCTTATGAAAATCTTACATGATAATTAATGGTGTTAAAATTTGAAAGTTAATTAAATGATTAATCACTAACCTTTTACTTTGGTTATTGCTTGATCACTCGAAATTAAATAATATTTACCTTTGATTACTGCTTACTCACTCGAAAATAAAAGTTTTATCGATTGTTCACTCACATTTACATGATGTTACTTATAGCATAATTAGTTAGTTTGTGTTATTTGTATTTATATTATTACATATTGTCAAAGGGTGGAATGGTAGTTCTATTTGTTTGGTTATTGTAGTTATGTCATTTTGCTATTAGACTATTTAAAACTCTTGTAATCTCTCTTTTGTAATTAACTTTTGCTTATTTGATGATTGGAACCCTAGCCTCCCTTTCGCTATTTTCTTCATCTATATTGCTTGGAATCACAAAATCCACATGGTAACAGAGCCCGAATCCACATGAATACTTTGTTTTGTGGTAAAAAGGAAGCGTTGATATTTTCCACAACTCTTCCGGATCCAACTTTACAATATAAACATTTTTGAATGGAACCGTACCCGATTCACTTTGCAATATAAACATTAATGGCTTGTTTATAAACCAGACTCTATGGTACTAGTGTATCAAGGAAAGGGGAAAAAAATTTCTTATACGTTGTCTCTCAATTCACATCCGGTGCTCCATAGATCGTCCGAGTGACATTATCCCTTTTTAAATCTAACATTAATATGACAAACTCAACCAAATTTCCTATTTTTCATATCATGCATATATAGATATCTTCTGATTATTTTACATGATCATTAAGCAGCCTTT